ACGAAGAACGAAAAATTGAACACCATCCTGATGCTAAAAAGAAGGACGCCCCACCTCTCAGACAGCGGGATTTTCGTGCAATACGGTCTGATCGAGATTCAGGTCACACTCATGTGGATGCTGAAGACAGTACTTGGGCATCAGCGGACTAGCCTGTACACCGGTCGCAACAAGATACTCCCTGAAGTTGAGAATACGCTGCGTCAGTTCTGTGGTCCTTTTGTTGCCATTGTCATCCCTGTTTCCACTCCAGACAAGTTCGGCAAGCGCAGCAGCGCGCGGCCACATCTTCTGAGAAATGACGACTGAGTCGACTTGCTCGGACCAGAGAGGCGCGATGGCGCCTTGTACAAGCGCCTTTTGGGTGTCTGTGAGGTTGAGAGTGAAGTCATAGTCGTAGATGCGCTGCCATGTCTTGTATGGTGCGCACCAGGAGCCACCGCCGCCGCCCCAGTTGAAGTTCGCTGAACCGTCTGTCGCATTGGGGTTGACCATGACATTGTACCTCTGGTCGTTGCCGACCCAGCCTCCGTATCCACAGTCCAGGTACATGAAATCGGAGCTGGAAACAATGACGCGGTAGCCCTGTCCGGTAAGATTGCTGATGTGGTCGAGACCGTTGTTCCAAGCTTGTAGGACGACGTCTTTGGGTACGACACCTGTAGCGGCCACGTCAGCGGAAAGCTTGACGTCTTCCCACATGACGAAAGTCTTGTTGGCTTGTGCACGAAAGTTGGGGATTGCGCGATCAACCCAGACTTGGTAGAGGTCGCCCATTGATTTGCCGCTGTTGAAGAATGCGAGGGCTGCAGTGGAGAAGTTGTTGCAGTTTGCAAAGAGCTCGTCACCACCAATGTGGAACCAGTTGTCTGGGAAGACCTGTGTCATTTCCTTGTACACTTTGGCTGTAACCTCGTAGGTCTTGTTGTTAAGAATATCAAGTTGACCTGGGTTGGGCTCTACGCCTGTGTGCAGTGCGTAGTTGTCGTTTGACCACCAGCTGTGTTGGCATGTAAGTAGGGACTCGTCGATTTGCGCCCAGCCGGAGCTGGCGTGTCCTGGCATATCAATTTCCGGAATGATGCGTACGCCGCGTGCGGAGGCGTAGGCGATGACTTCCTTCAGCATGTCTTGCGTGAAAATTTCGTTGGCTGAGTAGGCGTCCTCAGTCATCTCGGGATACGCATTGATTTCTACGGCCCAGGACTGCGAATCGATGAGATGCCAGTGTAGAACATTGAGCTTCGAAAGAGCCATTCCGTCGATTTGTTCAAAGATTTTGGCCTTGGTAATGAAGTTGCGGCCTGTATCGATCATGATACCGCGCACCGGATAGAGTGGCGCATCCTTGACAGCGACGGGTTGTTCGATGATCATCTTACCTGAGCCATCGTTGATCACAATCTGCTGGAGCGTGGTGAGAGCGTGGAGGGCGCCGTAGACAGTTCCAGCAGTGATATCGACAGTATCCGAGCCAGCTGCGACGTCGAGCGTGTAGGATTCATCTACACCATGTTGAAGCTCAGCGTGGGCATTCGAGACGTCAATTTTGACCTTGGTGATTGTGCTTGTGCAATTTCCGGGTGGTGCACTGTACTGCCTCTTGCGCTTTCTTGAAGCAGCGGTTGGGGTTGGAAAAGGCTGAAACAATGTGACCGAGGCTTCGGTGGCTTGCGGAATCCACTTCAGCTCCGCGATGGTCTTAGTAACGCGGTCGAACGCAGCGGAGAGCACCTCATGGTCCGGCGCATCGAGAGCGACAGATCCGAAAGAGAAGCAGCCAGAGTCGCCCCAGGTAATGTTTGTGGGTTTCGGGAGAGGGTTTGCGGCGACAGCTTCAGCTTGTCTGGCGAACAAGGCTGAGGCTGTGACCACGGAGGCCAAGATGAAATCGCGCATGGTTATTCAGCTGTCAGGATGCTACTTTGTAATGAGAGTGGGAGCAACGACTGCGGGAAGTGAGTGGGTTCTTATGTTGTTGTTATAAATGGCCAACAACCATGAGTGGTGACGACGAACAGCGTTGACGGTGTACTCCGAAGTAAATTCACAACGTGAGGGAGGGAAGGAGGATGTCTATCAATTTCGCATTGAGTAATTCAGCTTTGCCATCCTGGTTAGGCTATTCGCATCCCAAGCTCACAGATCAGCGACTGGGCGGTGCACTAACCGGGAAGTGCCCCTTAGCTGATATATCAGGGCCAGTTAGTTGCTCAGCCTTGCTGCATATGCGAGCTCTCGACAGCCTCTGCTGCAACCCATTCCCGCTCTCACCAGACCGCGCCGCCCCCGCGCTCGCATCCGTACCGCATTTCTCTTGTGGCTGCTGCCGTGTTGCAACGTACCCCACCTGCTTTGCTCATCCTTGGGAGCATATACGAAGTGTGCGCCCCCAGGTTCGATACTACGTTCTGTGTCCACGCCTTGGAATATAGCCATGGTAACCCTGCACGCTGACAACCTGCACCGAGTGCTGGGGTTGGCGTGACGGCCCCCGAGCAGGAGGCTAGAGTAAAAGTGGGTTCCCCACCACCCGACCGCGAATGGAGCTCTCGGAATCCGCGCTAAAACAAACGGCTGGTACCCCAACATGCTTGCCTCGTGTTACCATGACCTGCTCTTTCTGTTGCGACAAATTTGGCTTGACATTCCGGGGTGAGTGTGCATGTGGGAAGTCTGGTGTAACAGTCTCATATACGAGTGCAGTGGTGGTCATGGTAGTCGTGAGGAATGCAGCGGCGAGTTGGAAGGGTGGCGCTTCGGAGGTTTTGGTGGATCCGCGAACGCGTGGCGCCGTCCTTCTTCCTTCGGAGCTGCGAGCCTGTGCGGGCTGATGCATGAGGCACAGCAATCGGCTGTCGACATGTCTTATCACTCAATCTGCGTTGTTGGTGCGTGGAGACAATGTGGTCACTTGTCTAAGCCTGTAGTCATGGGCTGTTTCAGTGTACCAATCATGACGCTTTTATTTCTAGCAATCAAATAAGCTTCAGCTTGCGCCCTGATGCGACAGCCACGGCTGGCGGCACTGCTACCGTCTCCTCCAAGATGACGCTACCATACCTATCCGCCATACCATTGCATAACTGTGCACCGTTTGCTCACCAGTTTCAGATTTTCCTCGGCATAGGCTGGCGAACACTACAATCGGGCCGTACGCGAGAGCCAAATGTAAGACAACATGCAGGTACACGGGTTTGCTGATGTTGATGGCTGGCTATTTCTCATGTGAAGGTGCACCAGGAGCAGGAGTAGAACCAGAACCAGACGCAGGCGCAGACGCAGCCTCACCTACCGGCGCAACACTACCAGACCCAGTCACAACCTCGTGATGAAGCTCGCTTTTGATCTTAGTCCAGTCCGGTGCTGCCACACTGAGCAACTTGCAAACGTCCTTCCGCCTCTTTCTGAAATCCTCATATAAGCCCTTCCATATCCGTCTCTCAGCGCAGGTTCCCTCGGGGCTGCCCCCACAATCGGGCTGCATCTCCTCTAACGCCTGTTCTGACCACATGACTGATGGGGGAGGCAGCGGCAGGTCGCTGAACTGGATGATCTTCCCCTCCTTGTAGACCTTCTCAGCGTCCCATGGCTCATCAGCGCTGCCCAGATACTCGGAATGATTGTGGCGCCTGAACTCTGCCGTACGAAGGGCGTAAGGTCGATGTGGAAGTACTAGCGCGCTCTCCTCAAAGCGTTCGTTGAGGATCTCCATGTCATATCTGTGCATTTCGACCAACATGCTATCACCACCCCCTTCCATGCGGTTCTTGAACTTCGCAAGCTCGTCGAGGCTAGGCTTGACTACCATGAGCGTCGTCGACAATGGCCACGGTTTGCTATCCGTCCAGTATGCCCGTGCCATCGCTATCGGCGTCTGAGGGAGGAGGAAGAGCTCATCGAGAGCGTCGAGGAGCGTGATCTGCGACTCCAAAGCGATTACGCGGTCGTAGTACTCTAGGCCAAAGGCCATGAGCTTCGTGACGGTCTTGTCCCATACCCAGTCACCTGAGAACAGTCAGCCATGTGCTTGTAGAGTCTCGCTTCATGTGCCGGGCGAATGGGCACTTGCGCAACGCATACCTTCTGTACGGCCTGCTACCTCAAGCAGCCTGATAGGATGAAGCTTTGCCTTGTATACATCGCGCGCTAAGTTGAGTAGTTGACTGTCTCGGTCCTGAGCGCTGTCTACTTTTGTGTCCCAAAACTCCGGGTAGAAGAGGACGCGGTCTGCCTTGCTACCGAATCGAGCGAGCGCGTCCAGGACCATCACGGCGTGGCATAGTTGGGTGCTGTCGGTCGCGTACACGCTGTACGCATAATTCGACCAATTGACCCTGATAGTATCTCCAGTATGAGGTGTCGTCTTGCGCGATGGATAGAGGATCCAGCAGATAAGGAAGAAGCCGAGGAAGTAGTACGCGTGGCGGCGTCGCAGGCGGAACGAGGGAGATTTAGCTTCGTCTACGAACCGCGGCAGCTCATCTGATCGTCGCCGACGCATTGTACGGTTGGCGTTGACGTTCGACCGACATGTTCGAGCGATTGTGTTGGTTGTTCAGGTGTCAGGAAGCGACTGGTGACGCGGAATCGCGGAAGTGTAGTGCGGAACTCCGAACTTCCAGGCTGCGACGCATTACGGCCTTGCATTGACAACTTTATATACTAGAGTGCGCACTATGTCCCTCTAGGTGTAGAAATTAACGACGGGTATCTTTCAGAAAGGGAGGAACATGGCATATGTGTAAGATCTGTCAAAGGATTATCACAACACGCATGAGACCGTTTTGATTCGACAAGATGCATTGTATCATTGCCGTATGCCAGGGTCACTTTTTGTAGTATGGTATCAAACATCCCAAACGCCGCGGCTGTGCAAACTCCACCGGTCCCGGGACGGGTAACTCTGGGTGGGAGACGTTGTCCTCATTCAGCTATGTAGCACCCTCTATGGCATATATCGTTCCATCGTGATCGTGAACACTTCTTGGTGCAAACGCTTACTCCTCAGGAACTGCGCTCTGTTAGTGATTGATTTTCGCAAATTGCCAAGTATAACATACTCTCAATCTCGCCAGCCTTGATGTCATCAGAGACATCCTTGGGGCTGCGACCGTCAACCTTGCAGCCGGTGCTGAAGGCAGTTCCGAGGATCTCAAGAACGGTACCCTGGAGGGACTTGGCCATCGACTTGAAGCGCATGGTGCGGGCAATGCTGATGATCTCATCGAGGGGGACGCTCTTGGTGTGCTTGATGTTCTTCTCCTTCTTGCGGTCCCGGGGAGGCTCCTTGAGGGCCTTGATGACGAGGGAGGAAGCGGAGGGAACGACGGAAACGGCGGCTTGACGGTTTTGGATGGTCAACTTGACGGTGACACGGAGACCCTTCCAGTCACCTGTGGCCTTGGCGATATCTTCACCGACCTCTGCAGAACGAATTAGTATTTCCATCCATGTGCGCTGGTCGATGGGTTCGTGGCGTACTCTTAGGCGAGAGACCGAGGGGACCGATCTTGGGGGCGAGCGCGGATGAGGCACCGACTTCACCACCGGTCGCACGGAGGTGAATGACCTTCACCTCGGAGGGATCGAACTTGGGAGCTTTGAGGATGTAAGCGCATGGCGATTTCTAGGAAAGCCTGGCTGTTGAAGATGATTGAATTCTCTGAGTGTCAAGAAACACCCTCCATTGGGTGTCCTAGCCACTCAGAAACTTCGCGCATCTTCGTAAGAGCCGACCAGAAGGATGATACTCACGCATGGCTAGTGCTTGAGGTAGTCAATCGGTTCTGGTTGTAAAGAGAGACTGCCGTTAATTTTGTCGGTTCGAAAGTTCGTGAGAAACGGATTCTCGGTGGGGAGCAATATTGGTCGACCTGTGAGAGAAGCGAGCCTTGGCAGCACCTTCCCCAATGGGCGATAGCATCTTTGCGTGCATCTCGGGCATCTCGGGCAACGCCGCATTGCTTCACATCATATTCCACCACTACGTGAGTTGGTCTTCCAAATGCATGGAGAGAAAATCCCTATGTCAATATATGATCGCTCTCTTGCTTCAACATCACACGTCCAAAATAGTGACCAACACGCTTCACACAACGCCATCCACGATGCCAGAACAATGTGACAATGTGAAGATGCCCTCATCATGATTATATTCTGCAGTGACAAGACCTTCTTCTGATACAGGTCGTTCATGTTCCTCAACCCCTTCATATACCAAACGTCCACCAGCCAGCAGCACGAGCACAGCCGACAGCAGCACGACAGCACAAACACCATGTACTTCACCTGATTGGCAATCAGTATGCACGAATACAAGACCTGGTATCATATTTCCTTTCAAATAACAATAGTCTTCTTACTTCCTCGCAACTGTATCTATATCTAATTTCCACGGGAACGATAGCACAACACAGCAAACCATGGTCATACAACCTCCCTACAGAAACATACACAGACGCTGCGAGAAAGCAATTCGAATGACGGATCAGGTCGACTTCCTTGTATGTGTGATTCAAAATGACTTTATACCTCGTGGAAACATTCTAAACACCGTGGAATAGAATCGAGCTGAAAACGACAAGGGCACTTCGAAGAAGAAGGATGACGAAACACCAGCGCCTGAATGTATTCAGGGAGAGTCAAAACCCGACGCTACCAAGTCTTCGCCTGATGTCGATACCATAACCCTTAAATGGCCTCTACCCCCGTCCGCCATACACGACGGTCTCTTATTCAGGAAAGTTGGATAACACAATGGGACATGCTGAGTTGCCTTGATACACTGTTTTTATTTCGTTTCTCGCACGCGCAAGCATGCGACTTCTATAAGCCTATGAGGGTCCCGATTGAGGGAAATGTGTGCCATAAGAAAGGCTGGCGATATTGACTCTATGACCACCTGAAATGACAACTCGCTGGTAACGCCCATCAATATCACAGAGCCAATAGTTATGTCCGAAATACCTCGGTAGTGATTTTCTCCAGAGCGTAATTCTTTCTCCAACAAAACATCACGCACCTCGTCCTCTGGAGATGCCCAGTCCCTGAGCTGCGGGAGCATTCTTTTCCCTCTCACTCACGCTGCTCCTTCTCCCAGCGATAGCCGACACACTTTCGCTCCTTGAACTATCCATGCTCTGCCTCATGCTACTGGAGCTAGACCTGCGCCTAGCACGTCTCGCCTCGTCGGGATCATGGGGATTCAGCCCGCTTGCTCTTGCGAACAAATTCAGGATATCCGTGAGACTGATGACGCCACTTAGTCTGCCAGATAAGCTAGCCCCTGGCATAGCAGAGATTGCTGATGCAGAGATAGCTGGGGCAACCGCTCCGGTACTAGCGAGGTGGGTCGGCGCAGTGGAATTGACGGGTGTTGGGCCTGCCATCCCTGGTAGTGGTGTGATTGGCGAAGGAGGAACAACAATCGCAGGTGTTATCGCTGGAGTCGATGGCCCTGATGAGGCCGGAGACGGCGCATCCACGACCCACATGCGATGCGAGCGGGTTGCGACTAGCTTGGCCACAGTGTGTGCGAGGGTACTGAATGGGTTGACGTGGAACACGGGGAAGGAGTCCTTGCCGTCATTCACTCCCCGTTCGGACAAGATGACAGATATGAAGTGAATACAGGATGAGCGAAGCAGTGGGAGCGATGTGGATTTGGTCAAGAGCTATGAGCCAGCCGTTAGTCGCGTAATATGAAACTGACCAGAGGAGACTTACCCGAACATCCACATGGGATATGTTGCCGATAACGTTGTTTTGCGCGTCCAAGACTGGGAGTGACGACACGCCTTCGTTGTTCATGAGCTCCAGAGCCGCTGCAAGAGGCTTATCTCCACTAACATCCAGTCAGCTGTGTGATTTCTGCGAACCCGCGCTGTACTCACTTGATGGCTAGAACGGTCTTGGATCCAAGATTCAGGTCTTTGATCAGCTGTGGGTACAGCTGGTTTACGCCTGGGAAGCTCGATCGGTTCTCCCAGAAGAATTGCACCAGTCTTAGCTGGGTAAGTATGCCCTTGACGTTCGATGTGCCTTCTTCTGCGACCAACACTCTATGTACGCCGCTTCCGAAGACTTCTATGGCCTTGGACAGATCCGTTGTCTCGTCGAGAGTAATCAACGGCTCCTTCCTGCCACCAACCTCTTTTACGTCTTTGAGCGGTATGGGTTTTCCTTCTCTTCCTTTCTGCGCAAGCTCGTCGAACGAGGCGATGTCGCCTTCTTCGGGGTGCGCGAGGCCGACTACGAGGAGGAGGTACGCGTTCAGGTCGCTGTAATCGAAGGTCCCGGTCGCATGCCGTGTGTTGGCGTCTTCGCGCAGGAGGACGACATTAGGGGCGCCATGTTTGACTAGTATCTATGCAAATCAGCCCATGCGCATGAAGATAGCTGTATATAACCCACGCTCGTCGCATCCTCAACGCTGGTATCGTACTCGACGAACCTCACCAGGTCAGGATCGACAATCTCTCCCAGTCTGACAGTCTTCCAATCGCGTCCCTGGAACTTTGGATCACCACCCTTGGTTGGTGGGTTGTTGAGGAGGTCCTGTAGCGCTTGCTGTGTCAGTGAAGGCTGCCGTGACGCGCGTGGTGATGTGGGCGTTCCTCGCATGTGCTCCGCGAAGCTCGAACGGTGGGACGATGCCGGGCTGGGGCTGGAGCCCAATTTGAGCGCAGTCGGAGGTGTGCGGCCGATGGAAGATACCGAGCTATTGAGGGACGTGTCCTTGACGTCAATAGCCTCCGTGGTGTCGTGGTCTGCCATGGTGACGGCGGCTATGTTTTGGGGTATGCGGGGCTCCACACAAAGTGTTTATCGGAACGCGCGGGTGCGGAGGTACTTGTATGCGCTTGGTGGCTAGATGCTCTGAATGGTCCTGTCGCAAGGAGACGAGCAGTCGCGCGTCTTGCAGCTTCAAGTTGGGCTGAGTGGTGTTTGCGGCATGTGAAGTGCAATGAGGTGGGGAGGGCTTGCCTGCAGCTGCAGAGCCCAGAAGATCGTCTCCTGCCTGGCCAGGGCACTTGGGCCGCAAGCTGCAGCCAAAATGCGGGGTGTGATTCGCTGCATACCATTACTATCAACCGTGTCGCCCAAGATTGCGCATCGACTGACACAGCCTTGCGGGGTTACAGACGCGTCCGCGAGTGACGGCGGCGGACGGGCGCTCCAAGCCATTCAATCGCGTGCGCGACGTCATACTGAAGTATAGAGAAACCGGGGAAGCACGCCAATCGCGCAAGGGGTCCAAGGCTCTAAGCGGTGGTCAATCATAATAGCATTGCATTCATAAAAAAAAAAACTCTTGTTCGCAGCCCTCGGGCTGGTTGATTTCCGCCCATACTAACATCCTGAACAATTGTCAAGGAATAGCCTTCCGTGATTTATCAGGTTTTGCCCAACGCCCGCCTCAAAGCATGACTCGAGTGAAACAAGAAACATTTCCCTAAGCGTCCTTCTGCTGCTCATAGTCCATGCCAGCATCTTTGTCAGCTTGACGCTGCGCCATGCGCTCGCGAATGGCGTCTCCAGACGTAGAGTCTCCATCACGACCACTGGCGGGGGGCGCATGGCTCGCTGTGTCGACGACGTTGTCATCGTAGGTCATGCCGTTCATCATGCGTGCTTCCTTCTTCTGTTGCTCCGTGCTGGACATGGTCTGCGTCGAACCAGAACTGACAGGCACGCTGACGCCGGACATTGGACTGGTCGGCGTCTGTTCTCGCAAGTAGCCCGGCAGAGCGCTTGCCTTTCCAACAGCAGGGCTGCCGAGTTGACTATGCTGCCGAGCTGGTGTGCGCGCACCCTCGCCGAAGCCAACAAGAGAGGCGGCTTCGTCACTGAAGCCTCCGATGCTTGATGTGTCCATGTCCTGGTCCTCGCTCATGCGGTCCGGCTCGTAGACATCGCTGCCACTTGCCCACGTCGTGCGACCGCCAACGGATCCGGTTGCGCTGGCACTGCCAACCGTGCTGCGCTCACGGAAGAGCTGCGGCTGGTTGTTTGCGTCAAAGTAGCCTGGCGGAGGATTGGCTGCGCTGCCTGGGTTGAGTCCTTGGGGAGTGCGGCCCGAGACTGCAACGCGCTCCAGACCGGCCAGGCGCGAGATGCGGTCGGCACGCTCAGCTTCAGCAGGGTTCCGGTGGTGGGGGAAGTGGCCGCGATGTCCGTCTTTGATGGCGACAGTCGAGAGCTCAGACATGGTCGTGGTGACCGAGTTCGGGGTACCTCTGTGTATACAGCGTCAGTCCGACTATTTCAATGAACCCCACCAAGCGCATGTGCCTTACGGAGCATCACCAGGCGTCTCGTCGCCAGACGGCGGAGGCGGCAGGTTGATCAAGGTGGGCGCGTTGGTTGCCATTGTAGATGTGTGGTCTGGATTGGTTCTTGCTATGTGCTGTGAGTGGTGGATGGCTCAGGAGAAGTACAGTAATGTTTTAGGAAGTCTGGTAACAAGGAGCCCGGACCCCGTGACGAATGACGTAGCCGACGGACTGGTAGCGCTTCGAGCAAAGCAAGGGCAAAGGGGCTGATCACGCCTTCTTGTAACAGATTGAATGTCTTTACGCGATCGACACTCAGCTTAGATATGTAGTTTAGACCGACTTGAGTCAACTTGAGAGATAGTCTCGCCGCCTCACTCTTGGGCCCCTTTGGCCGTTGGCTAGGCGTTTCTTGACGCAGGGTCTTCTTGCCCTAAAATTTACCGAGCCGCTGATTCGCTACCAGGGCAGCGGTTGCTTCACTATCGCCTCTTCACCTCGCTATCCAGCGAACTATCTAAGAAACGTGCTTCAATTCCGCTACCACGTTATGCATGCCCAGGTAATGAAACAGCTGCAATATCCTATATACACAGAGCCCCACCGCATTATGTCATACACTTTAACAACCCAACAATCTACATAACCGTACAATTGGTCGCGGGCTTGTCTGTATACTTGTACTTGTAATGGCTCTTGTGCCTCCTTCTCTTTCGCCTGCCATCGCAGTATCCATTGTAGTCGCTGGCATAGCCATCGTCGTAGGCACCAAATCCGTCGTCGTACATCATCGGGTCATGCATAACCATCCCTGAGCCGCCCATCATCGGTCCGTTCGTGATCATCGGAGCATGCGACATCATGCTTTGAGGGCCATAAGGGCCAGTGAGGCGGTGGTCATAGGTAAAGCCCTGATTCATGGGAATCATAGCACCAGACATGGGTCCAGAAGTGATCGCTGGGCCTCCCCACCCACCAGACATGAACGGCGCGCTGCCCCACTGACCCGGGATCGCGTAGTTGCCACCAACGTGGTTTCGAAGCATCTGGTTACAACCCCAAGGTCCTTGAACCATTTCAATCGTCTCTCGATCTGCAAATCCGCCGTTACAAATAGGACAGGTGTATGGCGGTGCAATTAGTGTCTGATAGGTTTGGCGGTTGGGGCAATTGAGGAGATCAGAAAGAAAGCCGCAAGGTTGGCTCATGGAGATCCAAGAATGACCGCATGTTGGCGAGTCGTATAGAGTGCAGCCGCACATGTCGGACGGACAGAGAAGTTGCACAAGGTGTAGGTCTCGGGTAGTCAGACGACACAGGTCGAGTGTCGATAGTCCACCACTCTCAGCAGGATACGATTAGGCCAAGAAGGGGTGTTGGTAGTTGCGATGGGCTGAAGAGGGCTTCAAATCGTGAAGCGAAGAGTCTTTGATGGAGTGCGATCATGGAGCGACAGACGTGGGCGTAGGGGATACTGGAGACTGATCTGATATTGCTGATATATATAGTACACCCTGGAGTGCGATGTGAAGTATGGAGGCTTTTCGTGTTTACGCATTCATCGTTGGGAGTGAAGTCTGCCACGTTTGCCCCTTGATCGTTGTTGGATTCCAGGTTGTGATTCACGCGTGGCGCGATCACTATTCTTTGGGATCCTTCTTGTCAAGCAAGTCAACCACACGCTTTTCTTCGGCATCGGCGTCCTCCTGAGCCTGGTTCTTGATTTGTTGCATGAGCTCGTACAGCTGACCAATTTGTTGATCTATGATCCAGTCAGTAGGCAACGTTTACACATGTTGGTAAACCTACCGCTCATCTTGTCAATCTTTGCTTTGTCCATCTTGGCTTCCTTCCATGAATCTCCTTCGAGCATTTGACAATATGTTTGCCATTCCGATAAAAATCCGATCTGTCCATGTCAGAAACTGTGATGCATAGCCACCACCCTGAATTGATCGCAACTCACTATTTGCACGGGGTTGTCGATGTCCCTGTGCGCTCTGAACTCGGCCTTGACGTACATGTCACCAAGTAGTCGCTCTTCCACGCCCAGCCTTTTCCTATGTGAGCGTAGCAGGCGACGGTAAAGCGGTATTGGCGGCAACAAGGCAGCAGGTGCTGGCCTAAAGGGTCTAGATGCTCCTGCATCTGTTGCTGTAGCTAGTAACCGCGTGTAGGCTCTCATACTGGCACAAAAATCCGATGAAGCTTCAAAATATTGCGACAGAGGAACTGTGGTGCATTCAAGAAGTGATGACCTCAGCCTCGGCTCTACTCTAGACTAGGGTGCTCCTTCCACTCCAATTGGCCCACACCGACACCTCCGATCTTGAACAAAATCGCAACCATGCTGCCAACACCATCAACAGCCCACGTCTGTTTTGATCGCGTGTACGAACCAGCCGAAGACTCATATCTGTTACTCGATACGCTCTCTTCTGCGTCGGAAACCGCATACCTGAAAGAGCGATTTGGCGATGCTTCAACGACCCCGCCATTGGTGCTTGAAGTGGGCGTAGGATCAGGCGTCGTATTAGCTTTCGTCGCTGCGAATGCAAGCACCATATTCAGTCGCCACGATGTGCTGACACTCGGGGTTGATATAAACAGCTTCGCCTGCAAAGCTGCTTCTCAAACAGTCCGCGATGCCATCAGAGAGCGGGAGAATGGACGCTCGGTCTTCATCGATGTCGTGAACGGCGACTTAGCAAGTGCTATCCGACCGCACTCTGTCGATGTCTTCATATTCAATCCACCATATGTCCCAGCTGAGTTGCCCGATCTGACGAGCCACGACAAGTACAACACTGTGCCGGAAGGAAAGACAGCGACGTCATTCGAACAGGATTCGTACCTTCTAGAGCTGTCGTACGCCGGAGGCGAGGATGGCATGGTGGTAACCGATAGAATGTTGGAGCAGCTACCGGAACTATTGAACTCGGATCGAGGTGTCGCATATGTGCTATTGTGCGCGCAGAACAAGCCGGAATCTGTCAAACAGCGGATAAGAGATTGGGGTCCGGGCTGGATGGCGGAGACGGTAGGATCGAGCGGAAAGAAGGCGGGTTGGGAAAAGTTGGTGATCGTAAGAATCTGGCGAGACACAGAGTGAGGAGGAAGCTGTGCCTGGCACCAAGAACGCGAGTGGACTTGGTTCAACTGAGGGTTGAAGCGTGGGCAGCGAACCTTGCGTCCCATCTTGACCAGAGTTGACCTTCGATCAGGATAGTGATTGTGGTGGGCCGACTTGACCACTCGATTTTGGTAGGGCAGGAGAGCGAGCGTCAGCCTTCGTTATTTTGGCGTCTTCTTGTCGTCCAGGTCAAGAGCCTTCGCGACGAGCAGCGATAGTTCGGTAGTGGTAACACGCTTGATCTCCCAGACGTTTGGCTTCCAGAAGAAGGCTTCGGTTTCGGTGCGTTCAACACAGTGATCAGCCTCAGCAGCTGTTGTTACTTTGCGCGTGGCCGTTGTTGTGATGGATGAGATACAGTGGAGATAATCCTGGCCAGCTGGAGGAAGAGTGGAGTAGGGTTGGGAGTTGACGCAGGAGTGTATGGGTAGATAAAGAAACCGAGCTCCCGGAGGAGGTGTTGTTGCGCGATATGTTGTCAAGATCAACAAAGCCAAATAGTAGCACATACATCGTTTCATACGATTTCGTGTCACATCAGGACATATCATACATATTCTTATACACAACTATACGTGAGATTGCCCGTTCCCCAGCGCCCTGACTGCGAAACACTACCAGAACTTGACGTTCTTCTGGTACCAATAACTCCAGCTCTTTCTCCTCTCCTCTTCTGCCTTGCGCTCCATTTCCAGTCGATCTTGCTCTTCCCTCGCCCTCCGCCGAGCCTCCTTCTTTGCCTCAATACTCGCACGCTTCTTCTCCATGAGCTCTTGTGCTTGTTTTATGCCGGCCTTTTCCTTGGATCGGTAGTACTGGCATACTTGGTAGGACACGACGGAGACGCCACACCAGGTTGCTACGGCCCAGTTGGAGGATGTGATGACGGGCTCTATGGTGCTGTCAGTACATTGCCCTAGAGTGCAATCTAGGGGTTTCTTGTCACGTACTCCCTATTATAGCGGCCAAACTTCCTCCTGCAAAGCCAGCTGCTAGTCCTTGCAATTGACTGTCTCGTACGCAAGGGCGTTTGTGAAAGTTCAAGTAGTACTCTGGCCCAAGACTTCGTACTGCGTCGATATATGTAGGGCCGCCATCTGATGTCTTTTCTCCGCCTGCTGTATGCGCTGTGCCTCCGGGCATAGTGTTTGCCGGCGCGCGGGGCTTTGGCGGCAGCGCATTCAAATCGACGGTATTCCGCGTATCGTCGGCCATGATGGTGTGATGGGTGGGTTAGTGGAGGACGGCGGGGAGGCAAAATTCGCGCGCGTTGTCTCTACCGGAGATTCGAGGAGAGTTTTCGTAGTCGTGGTTGCTGGTTGCTGGTATTCCGACTGTGGTAGGGTGAGTCGCAGTTGGTTCACTTTCTCAGGATGCGGAATAGGCCCGAAAATATCCAGCATGTATGATCCCACGAGATCGGGGACAGGGTGTGGCTGTGCGCAGCCACACCAAAATCAATTTGCCCAGACGGGGAAAGCGCAAAACACGCTCGCGCGCGTCGCGTCCAGCATTTGCCGATCCACCCTTTAGGACTGCGAGACCCTCGACAAGACACTCCCACCGCCAATTGTCGATACCCCGTCTTTTCGCTCTTTCACTGTCCCAATGATACCCTGACCTGCATACTTAGCATTTAATACTCTTTTACCTTCTGCCACCACACACCATGGCGCCACGACGCGCAGGCCAACCCTTCCGCCGGGTGGGCAAGCTGGGCAACACATCCTACGGCCCACGGAAACCCAAGACGGTCGATGCCTCGTCACTCCGCAGTGGCGAGGGCACCTCGCAAAACGAGAAACTCGAATCTACGCGCCTCGCCCACCGCATCGATGAGACTATGGGCTTCGCACGCTTCGACTCGGGCAAGAAGAAAGTGGGATGGCTCGTCAACATGCATTCGACAACAATAGAGGACGAGGATGTACCGGGTGGCAGAGCCGGCGTAGACTTTTACTTCATTGGCGACGAAGGCGACACATTCAAAGCGACACTCGAATACGACCCATACTTTCTGCTGGCGATCAAGAAGGGCAGGGAACAAGACGTGGAAGAGTACTGCAAGAAATCATACGAGGGCTTGATCAAGTCGATCAAGACGGTCGAGAAGGAGGATCTAAGCATGCCAAATCATCTGACAGGATACCGGAGAAAGTTCTTGCAACTCACATTCGCCAACGTGAACGACCTCTTGGCTGTCAGGAAAGCGGTCGCACCAGTGGTAGAGAAGAACAAGAAGAACGTCAATGCGATGGATACATATGCCGAGGTTGCAAAGTGAGTCCAGCTCGTCCCCTCTGCGTATACGATGGCTAACACGCACACAGTGGCAACGGCGCATTTGACTTTTTTGATAACGACGAGTACGAATACGAGAAACGATTTACGACCACCGTTGACGCGAGCGATTTCATTTTAGACATTCGGGAATACGATGTTCCCTACCACGTGCGAGTGGCTATCGACAAGGACGTTCGGATCGGAAACTGGTACACTGTCGAGGCCAAGCATGGCGTAATAAGCATCAAGTGCATAGAGGATCGCCTTACACCAGCGGATCCCGTCGTCATGGCCTACGATATCGAAACAACGAAGCTCCCGCTGAAATTTCCCGACGCAGCTATCGATCAGATCATGATGATATCGTACATGATCGACGGTCAGGGATTTCTCATCACCAACCGCGAAATCGTATCAGAAGACATTTCGGACTTTGAGTACACGCCAAAACCAGAATATCAGGGTCCATTCATGATCTTCAACGAGCCGGACGAGAAGGGGGTGCTGGAACGTTTCTTCGAACACATCAAGGAAGCTAAGCCAACAGTCATGGTCACCTACAACGGAGACTTCTTCGATTGGCCGTTCGTCGAAGCAAGAGCTAGCGTACAGGGTATCGACATGTATCAAGAGATTGGGTTCAGAAAGAATAACGAGGACATCTATCAGTCAGACTATTGTGCTCATATGGATGCCTTCTCTTGGGTCAGTCGAGACAGTTACCTACCTCAAGGAAGTCGTGGTCTGAAGGCTGTTACTATGGCTAAGCTTGGATACGACCCCGACGAGCTCGATCCGGAACTCATGACACCTTATGCAGCTGAACGACCGCAAACACTTGCAGAGTACTCTGTCTCCGACGCTGTCGCGACCTACTACTTATACATGAAGTATGTGCACCCGTTCATCTTCGCTTTGTGCAAGATCCTACCACTCGGACCAGACGACGCGCTGCGCAAGGGTACAGGTACCCTTTGCGAGATGCTTTTGATGGTGCAGGCATACCAGAAAGGCATCGTCCTACCGAACAAGCATCAGGCGCCGAAGGAAGCTTTCTGGGAAGGCCATCTTCTGGAGTCCGAGACCTATGTTGGTGGTCACGTCGAAGCGCTGGAAGCTGGCGTGTTCCGAAGCGACATCGCATATAATTTCGCTGTCGATCCTACGGCTATTGATGAGTTGCTCCACGATCTCGATGCAGCGCTGAAGTTCAGCATCGAGGTTGAAGAGAAGAAGAAGATGGAGGACGTCGTCAACTACGATGAGATCAAGGCCGAGATCGTTGAGAAGCTCATGCAGCTCAAAACTACACCGAATCGTAACGAGCGACCCCTCATCTACCATTTGGACGTTGCATCTATGTATCCGAACATCATGACTACTAATCGTTTACAACCCGATTCCATGATTGACGAGTCAAATTGCGCGGCTTGCGACTTCAACCGCCCAGGAAAAAC